TTTACATAAACCAGTCACGTGAAAGATCTTTAAAATAACTGCGGCTGTGTTTTCTGAAATTCAATGTACTGATGTTTGATGAACACACTACATACACGTTCAGACTCGAAACTGTTTTTGTTGTGTGCCAATTACCTCCTCACTTTTATTACAGACGGAATTAGGTGCTTATTTATACACATCTCAGAAGCATAACCTGTTAAAAAAAATACGGTCGTAAACGTAACAAAATATACATGTAAACATAAAAGTAATTCATGACGAAAACATGGACTTCATGTTAATATTATGTTGATGTAGTGTGTACATGTGACGATAATGATGTGGATCGTTATTGCTAACTAAAATTTTCATAGTGGTGGTAACAATGTGTTAAAAAAACCTCTTTGCAATAGCTTATAAAATTTGAAATCGTTAGATCCATTTTAAAAATACAGTTAATTTTATAAAACTACCAAAGAATTATCTAATTGAAGTAAAATTTTTGAGTTGAGCGAAATTATGGCTTAGAAATTTCTCAATAAATACATCTAAATAAGCTCGAAGAGTGGTATTCGCACTTTTGGTTTGTCTCAATAAAATTTCCAAAATATCTCTAGCGTCAAGCTGAAGACTTTAATATGAAGGAGAGCAATGATTTATGAAACATGGTACATTCCATGCATTTCAGAAATGTTCAAGCATTTTGAAGTTGTCACTACTGTAAAATTATGGTTCTAAATTTGAATATATTATGCTGAAAGAAGTATGTAATTCAAACAACTCTTTTTCTGCATCAGCAAGTTTACAAAAAAAAAGCATAACAAAGACTTCAAAAATTTAGGCTAGAACGATGAATAGATACACATCGAAAAAAGCAAGTTATTCTGAAAATGCATTCTATAAATTTATGGAAATTTTGACAGTGGAGTATTTGGAATTGACTTTTTAAACATTAAATGTGGACTAAAAAATAGCAAAATGTAAAAAAAATGGAAATACCTGGTAAAACTGTGAAATATTCAAACAACAGAAAAATGTATTTATTATTATTGGAGCAATATTTATGTTACTGATAAGTCGTTAAAGTTATTGTTGTTGCGTTACAATAAATACGTTAGCATGAAAAAACTAATTACTTTTACAAAAACATCTACACAAAAACATAAAAAATATTCTGTTAATTCGTTCTAGAAGGGAATTAGAAAAAATTGTTTTAATTTAGTCAGCAAACGAACCTATTTGTTCTTGTTTGGAAGCAAAAGCTCAATGCATATTTAAATGTTTTGTTACAAATATAACAAAGTTACTGATTAATTAATAAGATACATATATAGTAAAAGTTGTTAATTAAATTTTAGGGACTTAGTGAGATGTTGGTGTGATTGAACACTTTGCAAATTTTAGAGACTTGTTTATTAAGCTTATATTTATTTATTTTCATTCATCATAAAATTCTGATTCTCGCAATTTAATAATTATTATTTACTTCGCTTTTCTATGTAGCTATTTGAGTTCCAGCTTCATTGAATAGGCAGTTTTTATTTACAGGAAATAAAAGTCATTCATAAATATATTACCGGAAGATAAATATGTGTTCAGGTTCAGCTACGAAACGTCAAATCTAAGTTTTTTTAGTGGTTGTCAAAAACAAAAATACATTACTATTACCTACAAGGCAATTAGTTTACTTAATTAAATACTTCACATGGAAATAAATAATCTTGTCAGTTAATATGCTTCAGAGTAATGTTTGCAAGAAAAATATTGCTTATTTCTTCAAGTTTTAATATTTCAATCATATTTGAAGGTGAGACTTCCGTTTTTAAAAAATAGGAATGACATTAAGAAAATATCTAGAACACATAAAAATTAATTAATCTTATATGTTTAAGTAGAATTCTTTGTATTTTTCTACATTTGAATTAACAGTAAATGTGTCAGTTGTGCAGCAGTATGTACCACCTATACAACTGATCCAACTCGAATTCGTTTTATTTTCAGTTCAGCATGATACCTATGAATTTTAATGTCTAAAACATAAGATCGTTTTCCCAAAATTTCGAACAAAATACCTATAGGGTGTCCAAAAAAAAAAATAGCGCACCAATACTATGACAAGTTGTTCATGACCATTTATGGAGCAGAGGAAAAGTAATTTAAAAAATCTTTTTGTCCAAATGTAGAAGATGTAGCCGTTCAAATTTTTTTTTCAAAATTTCACCAAATTTTAATTCACTACGTTCTTGGGTATCTGAAACGGATTGCACTTTCGTTATTCAAAATAATTTTGGAGACATCGTGTCTTTATCCATAGATTTTTACATTTTATAACATTACCAAAAATTTAAAAATTGTTTAGGATGAATCTGAGGAAAGTGACTAAATTTTCACTTTTTTTGATCTATCTATCTAAATGGATACTTAGTTGATGTAAGTGAACGTCTAATTGAGGTAAAGAATTTTTTAATGATTTTTCTCGGACTTAGAGTTGCGAATTTAATCATGCATCGCCGAGTTTTTGAACAACCTGTAGTTAATATTTTTTTGCGATAACTAATAAAATAATTTACATTTCAGAAAAGTATTCCAACTTACTTTTCAATCACTGTTTTTCCATGACCTTTTCAACATTCGGAAAAAAAATTGTTAATATTATGCAATTGTTGAAGTAGTGGTAACGTATTGTTTAAAATTCAAGCAATTCCCTTATGTAATTTTTAGGTAATTTGATGGTTAAAACTCATTCATATGTAACGTAACAAATGAATGTGCATTTTATAAATTGCAGGTAAGTAACATTGTTAATGCATTGTAAATGAGACTCACTTGGCAAAATCATGAGATGACGTCACAAATTTGTTGAGGGAGATGAGTGACCGGCCTTTAGTTAGTACGTGGCCTTCCGTGCGGTAATCTTAATAACGCATGCCCAGAATTTAAGTATGAGTTTGGTTGTTTCGAAGATTGTCTGTTTAACAAAATCAAAAATATACGACAGAAAAGTAGAAATAGTCACCGCCATTTTTGTGTTCGCATTATGAAATTAACAAAAACGAATCTTATTTTTTTTTCAATGGTATCACAACTAAACACTGTAATAACAAAAATCATGTTTTTTATTGTGAATGCAGTGCAGTGTATACTCCGGTGCATAAGAATTTTAAAGAACTAAAATGATTTTTAATAAATTTATTAAAATTAAAAATAATTATAATCACTACTAGCACTGTATTTTTTAATCCAGTTGTGGAATCTTGGTGAGTATCAGCATAAATCTTCTTACTAGAGTGCGCCAAAAATTTTCGATAGAGTTTAAGTCTGGCGATCTAGCTAGCCACCTCATAACTCACACTTCTTGTTCCTGGAAGCACTTAATATTACCTAACTTGTTTTGCATTGTTCTTCTGAAAAAAACATTCTTCCTTCTCCACCAGAATTCTCCTCGTCCCTGGAACACAGTACAAGAAATTTCGCTTTTTTGAAAAATTATAAAATCAAATTGCATTTTTTTGTGATAAAGTAAGAAAAAAAGGATTTTTTTAGAAAATTTGAATGCTTAGAGGAAAAACTCAAGGCAGATTCATAAACCGTAAATGCGAGAGTATATTATTTTTTAAATTTAAGAATGTTTAATGTACAAATTTTTAGGGGATGCCATCAAATTTTTGGTGGGATGATTAGACAAATTTTGGTTACCGTCTACATGATATTCACAACAACATATCAGATTTGGTCTGGTAGTTTTGGAGATTATTTATTTAAAATAATCGACTACGAAAACATTTTAATCCACAGTTTTGTGACTTTATTCTACCCGAGATAAGTTTAAGAAAAAGCTCTTGCAAGTATAGATTTATCGATTTAAAATAACCTTTTCACTTTTAATGGCTACATTTTAGATGTTATACTAAACGTGTCACAATTCATGCTAATCTAAATACTATTTTTATATATAGTAGTATTACTAGCAGTAGTGCTAGTAGTCGGAATGACAATAATAATCTGATAAATTTGAACGGTTAATTGCATGTTTTTTCGCCGTTTCATAACCCCTAGAGTATGAAATAATAGTTGTGCCATTTCCATCTGTCTGGCATCTGTTTACTGTCTGTCATAATATCGTGTAGATGGTAAGTAAAACACTAATCAAAATTTGTTTGACATTAACAATTTGATGCCGTCATCTTAAAATTTTGTAAAGTAAATCTTATTTAAATTTTATAAATAACATATTCTATACCTATTCTATTTTTTTAATCTTAGACATCCAGATTAAAAAAATCAGAATCGAATAACAACTCTTAAGCATGGTAAATCCCTAATCAAAATTCATCTGTTTATCTCCTCCAAAAACCTGATGACGTCATCTCAAAATTTTGCGGGATAAATCTGATCTAAAATGGACAAAATATCAACAGTCTACACCACACTTGTGGTTTATTAATGTATTCAATATACATAATATATACAATTTACTGCATTGATTGAAAAAAAAGATTACTTTATTCCTGAAATTGTGGAAATACAGTAGGTACTGTTGTTACAAGTAAATATTACACTCTACTTCTTCAAACTGATAGATGTGTCCTTGCTTAAACGTTGATGACGTTATCACAAAAAAACTACAGGGGTTGTGATAAAAATTGCAAAAACTAATTTTATAATTTATCTAAGAAATTGGATTTGTTTGATCGTACTTCAGGGGGGAGGGAAGTTCTGCGTAAATGATTGTAGATAAATTTTTTATTGCAGATGGTTTAAATAACTTCAAACTTGTTAAAGAAAATCTTAATGAACATGATTGAGTATATTATTAGCCGTTTCCTTTTATGGTTATAGGTAGGAATTAATACGTTTATTTATCTATTCTAGATTCTGATATAGAAAGCAGTCCCCATTTGTTCAGTTTTTGTGAGATATTGTTGGAGTTATAATGATAAGATAAAATTGTTTTAAGCAATTAAATAAGTGACTTAACACAGTAATAACTGAATCTACGTATAAAGACAATTTCAACTGCACAGTGAGCACAAACAGAAATTTCAGTCGTTCTATTCGTGTTTAGAGAGACATATTTTATAGACTTTTTAGTAGTTACAGTTCACATGTTAACCTTATCACTCTATTTTGAAATTGTAACATAACCTTCCAGATTTTTTCCTAAACAATTTGTGCTTGCAGTTCCGGCATTTTGGCGATACCTAACACAAAAAAATAATTAAACAGTGCCTAATTATCCGAGCGGTGAAATTCGTGAAAAAAGTTTATGCATGCTGAAATTTCCATTGAAAAAGCTCCCGCGGTTAGTTCTGCCAACCTGCGTATAAAATCGCGTAACAAAGCGCTCACACTCACAGTATTATCTCGCGCGTCGCGAGTATCATACCTCGACGACCAAATTGGTGGTTTCAGTAATTTATAAAACAAAATTTATTAGTTACGTGATTGAACCAGTTTGGTCTTTGTGAATGAAAATCTCGGGTTCAAAATTCGCGAGCGACGAGATCAAATATCGAATCATCACGAAGTGTCTTCAAACGATAAGAAGATAACCGAACAGAATTTTAGTACGAACAAATTAGTTAAAAAATGAAGTACTCAGTGATAAGTTTGACGTTTCTCCTCTTTGTTTTCGTAAGGCTTTCGAATTGCGCGCCCAGTGGTGGAACTAACAATGCACTGGTAAGTATTGCATTATTTTTATAACACGCAACCAAGGTTTGTCAATATTTAAGGTAACTTTATTTAAGTTAAGGCAAAATTGTGGTCTATATAACTTAAATTTGTTAGCTTGCGCTCAAACAAAATAATATTACTTCCGATAATTATTATTCGAGATGAATATTTACAAAGTAATACGTATTTAACGCGCATCATTCATTTTTATATTTACTGCTTTCCAAAATTAGGTCTAGTTTTATCAGACAAAAAGATAATCACAAACGTGCTGTGTACACATTGCTTCAAAATAAATGAATCACTTCAATTATCGTTTGTTTCGGTATTTACTGTTCGAATCGCTATTTTTCTCACTTATATTCAAATCAAATTTGAGCTTGAGGGATTAAGAAAAATGTAAAGTCAACAAAGTGGGGGCGTGTGGGTATTGACAAGCTTTGGCGCATTTAAACAATGTCTTTGTTGTTAATCGGAAATGTGGAAAACAGTATTTAACGTAGACTAGAGTGAATCATAGTTCTGGGTATTGGCGCCGTTTACTGGAGAGGTCGCTTGATGATTTCAATTGCTGAGGTTGCCGCTATTCGTCATCAATGATCTGATAAATGGTGATAAAGATGACTTCGAAATTCGAGTGGGAGTGGGGGAGTCCCCTACCGGAAGCTATTGTCTTAGGCATTTCTTGAATTTATTTAGTCGGTATAAAATGCAGATTTTTAATTTTTTTAATTGTCATTGAAGATACCTTCCCGCAAGCGTTTACGTTTTTGCATTCGTAGCTTCTATTTGTGTTTATAATTAGAAAGTCCATTAAGAATCGTGAAAATTGGTGGTGGCGGCATAAGTCAAAGTGTGAATCATCGTGATTTGATTACTGTATAAAACTTGTTGTGTTCATCTGAGAAGCATCATAAGGATATTAGATATTTTTTGCAGTAAAAATAAAAAGCTAGTATGAGAATTATGCATAACATTAACATTAACATGGACAACATTTTTAGGCAAAATATGTGTGCAGTTGTTATGGGGAGAGTCTTATTAAAGTTACAGGGTTATCGAATTGAAATTTCGCATATTTTTTTTAAGCATACAACTTAACCTTGCCCTAAATAATATTTTAATTTCACTCTTTTAGCAATATATTACATAATAATGACACTACTTAATTATTGTTAATTTTTTATTCTTATTCACTGATTTAGAATATTTTTAATATTTTGGAAATTTGCTTTTCTTGATACAGATTTACATTGTTAAAAGGAAATTGATAAAAGTTCAAATATAAATGAAAAATCTCACTTTCTGTTGACCTGTTTAAATTTTCACTAAATGTAATATATGTTCTATGTTGCATGTCAACTCAGTATACCGGAAGCTATTTTTAGAAAATTAAGAAAAAGTTATTGCAAGTAAAATCAAACTTAAGGTTCACTCACATCACATTAACCTCATTCCCGATAACCTAGCAGGATGAGGTACCCGAAGTTTGTTTTTCAGTTTACAAAAAATTTTCAGCAAGGAAATTATGTATCATGTACGCAGTAAAACGCTGACCCAAATTTAGCTGTTTTTTTAATTTTTGAAAAAAAAAAAAAACTCTTGCACTTGTGGTGTATGAATCCGTATATAGTGTTCATCTTAGACATCGAAATTTTTGAAAAGATCAAAATTGTGTAACAATATTTTGTAATTTAACTTTGAAACTGCATAACTGAATGCTCTAAAATCTTACAAATATGTTTTAAGATTGTCATAGTTATGGTAAATTGTTAGTCAAATTTATTTGTATATACCCCCAAAAAAATTATGACGTCATCTCAAAATTTTGTCCGAATAAATTCCATCCAAAATGTGCAAAATATGATGAATCTATGCTTGTGATTTATCATTCCATTAAAAATTTATAGATTGTTTGTAAGAGGTGATTAAAAAAATTAATGAATGAGCCCGTTTATTTTCTTGATAAAATCAGGAACGGCTCACTTAATTTTCCCGAAAAATTGGGAATACAATACTGTTATCATTACTATCACACTGCACCTACCCAAATTGATATGAGTCCTTTGGTTTGAGTATGTGACAGAAACTGTTTGTTTTAAAATGTATGGTTAAGTTTATCCCAATTAGATGCCATAATAGTAGACATCCCTACTCGCCTACTCCAAGTGATTTTTCAATTAAATACCTGTTATTTAAGGGGCGAGGCAAGTTCTATCAAAATGAACTTCGGCCAATTTTTTCATAAGTTGCTATTTCATTGGTTTACAAATCTGTTATAGTTACAGTTAATTTGGACAGATTTTGTTGTTATTGTTATTATAACTAGACGAGAAATTGGATAGAAACACAACATTTATGTAATTAAAACTAGCTGTTTCCCACTTGGTGTCACAAAAAATTACCAACAGATTTTTTTGAGAACAATTTTGACGTTAAAGAATTTCCTTGTTTGTTTGGTACAAAGCTAATTGAAGTTTTGTTTATTTTGTTGTTATTTCGAAAACAAATCAGGCTGGAAGTTTGCTTGGAACATATTCATATTTTTAGATAGTTGTATTTGTATTTAAGCTACTGTTTTTTTTATATGTGTAGTGACCGAAAATATGTGTTGTGATTAATTATTATTAATTAGTTCTGATTTGTTGAATCATCAACGAATATAGAAAAAAGAGAGTAGTTCGAAGGTTCTTTTGTTTTTTGTTTTGTTACTTATCTTGTCGATAACTGACTTAAAAAATAATATATCAATAATATCTATAAATAGTTTCAATATACGTGTTGGATTAACATTAGACGTTTTTATCTAAAAGTAAGATGTCAAACGTCCAACTCAAAGTCATTTAAAGTGGATGTTATTTGACGAGCTATAAAGTCTAAAAGCAGATCTAATTATCTTTTGTATGTAGAGACGAATTCCATAAAATTAGTACTTACTGACTTACTGTCTGGTTTCCAGAGTAATTAATTGTTTACGAACGATACTTCGTCTATCCGGTTTGTCTACTTCGTGTAGTAAAGCATTTTCAACAATTACTGAGTCCTTGAAATTAACAACTTTGGAAAATATTATGTAAGTACACAAGATTTGACTTGTTTTCTATAAATGATTATATTTATTGAAAATTTACAATTTTCAATTTTGCCGCTTACCACCAAAGTAACAAATACTTTGCACCATAAAACAAGATTTTATTTATTTTATTTAGAAAAATTAGGTTGTTGTTAGATCACTTTTAAAGCAACAAATAATTGTCACAAATAAGGAAAGGGATAAATTTCTGTTAATAGTTAACTTCAGTTGTATAGTTGGTATTTGAAATTGTAGGTACATATACAAGGGGATGCCAGAATAAGTTACGATTCAAATACATTGTTAATTCTTTTTTCTGTTGGCTGAAAAATTATTCCGATTTTGACTATGTGGGTTCATTGTTTTATTCAGAGAACTATCGGTGTTATGTCATAATAATTACCAGAAGTGCGCCGTAAATTTAATTTGAAATAATTTGGGCTATGACTTTTAAATGGGCCACATGAATAACACCATAATAACCTCCTGGCTTTATTGTTTTGTGTTTGCCCTTGCTCGTAATTGAATTTGTTGTGTGGAGCAGAGTTATACGAATACGGCAACGATTTGATTAATTGGTGTAAATGCCTCAAAGACCCGCATCAAGATATCCATTTTAAAAATCAAGCACTTTAAGCAATTTGATGTATCTGGTACGTGATGAATGAATTACGTGCTTATTATCCTCGACTATCACACAAAAAAGAATTAAATGGTGATCTCTTGACATAACCGAGCACTTCCTCTGTGCATTTGGCGTAATCAAGGTGAATTCCGCTATTTCCGGGTAGAATGTTTTATTGGAAAACCTTGAAAATTATCATTATCATGCGACACAATACCTGTGTCGGTATCTTCCGAAGTTGATGATAGTTGTTTTGATTTTTTTGAAATTATTTGAACTTTGTTCACGTTGTATCTGCTAGTGTTTACCCATTTACCATTATGTAACGTTTAGAATTAGGCATTATTCAATAACGTGGGTCTGCCCACTTCAGAGTTCATGAACACAACTATGTCTAATCGAGGAAATCAGCGAAATCGACTTACTTAGCAAGCCACGAAATGAGAAATATTGGTGTAGAAAGCTACATGATTGTATTATTTGGGTCTTTTTCAGTGACAACCAACAAAAATTCATAAGTGATGAAATTTGAAATTGTTAAAATTCAGTCTTGCTGCGGCAATTTATTTGACAATCGTTTCATTTCGTATTTAGGTTCTATTTTTGTTTTACTTCTAGCGTAAAGAGTGACATAATAGTTAGTGTTTTGCACCCATATTTCGTTCTGGTTCCTACCACTTTCCCTAAAAAAAGAAAGCTTATTCTTGATAAAGTACATGTCATTCACTGTTTTCAGAGTGGTTGCAGCACATTGTGAGATTTTTGCAAAAACAGATTTATTATCAGTTTTTAGTGTTGGTCGAAAAATAAACGTTACGCTCCACAAAAACGATCGAATATAAGTATAAGCACTCAGTTTTGAAAATTAAGAAAAGTTAAGCTGGTGAAAAGAGTACAAAATTCTCACCTTTGCTGCACCAGCATGATGGTTGTCGAGATGCAAATCAAAATTGGTACAGATAAGATATAGATTTCAGTAACGTGTTAAAATATTTGCCACCATAAGTTAATGTTCCGTAAACAAATAAATAATAGAATTTTCTCCATTTACGAGGTTGTATAAGAGGATCATTGCCCAGTAAACAATTTGTTGACATAACGTTGATTCAACGTTTTTTGGCGTTGAAACAACTTTTTCGTCGAATTTTGAATCATCTGGTTTGAAATACAACTTATCTGTATCAACGTTGCAATAATAATCTTACAATAATTATATTAATGTGACGTATATGATGAAACTACGAGTGATAAAAGTGATAAAAAGAGATAACAGCATGTACAAGCTCCATACAGTTTTTATAATGACACTCTAAATAAATAAAATTTAGAATACAGCGCATGCACAAAATGTGTTATTTTAAAATTCTTTCTGTATCACAACAAATGTTCGACTGTGGATCCCCAACTCTGAAATCATTTTACGAATTAAAAAAGATCATACAGTTACCAACTTTCTGCATGGCTGAAGGGAGGGGTTAAACTAAAAACAAAAATCTAAGATTGGAAAAGTTCTTACCTACTTTTCATGATACTTTGTCTTTTCAAGGATTTCAAATCAATCATATACAGAAAATTATAATACAGGTGTTAGTTGAATATTTTATATTATGCTACGTTTATAGGAATATTGCGTGGCTCGTATTTGCTTTTATTTTTACGCACTTAAACTTAATTCGTGATTAAATAATCACGAACGTCAAATGTGTATCAGAGCTGTAAAATTATGACGTAGATAATAATAAATACTTCGCAGATACCTATACCTACAGGCTGTTCGACCATACGGCGCAAAATAATCATTTTACATATAAAATTCGTTTTCATTTAAACTGAATTATTTGCTTCTATGTATACCTACTCATTTTCACTTAGAGTATAAACAGGTAAGGTATAGGTGGTAACGACATGTTACCATGCAATCATTTATTACTTTTCATATATTGTTTTAAGTATCATTAGCGGTTAGTACTTGAACTTGATCAAAAAGCATCCACAATCATGGAATTTTAAAAGTTCCGGTGTCCTTTCTTAATTTTTTAATGATGTAAACTCCTGTCATTTAGCATACAATCAAATAATCAAATTATTTTAGTGGATTAAATCACTCTGATACCATAATACAGAAACCTTGTTCACTACCCTATTTGACCGTCAAATGAAGGTGACAATTATAAATATAAATCAAATGACAACCTTTGGAGGCTTTAGATGCTTGCGGAAATAATGAATAAATAATATGCGTATGTACTTCACACACAAGTGAGTTTATTTAAACTGCTTTTCATATTACATATGCGTGATAACCTATCTACATAAAAACGTGTTTAATTATTTCTTGTTATTTAAGAATTATAAAAGTGCTATTAGAATCGATTGTTTTTACATTAAGGGTCAAATACATGTGAGCGATGGTCATTGACAGATACTTTTGCGGATGATTACTATTCAAAAGGCGTTTAACACTTGAAACGTGTCCTTGAGAGGTAACAATGCACATTATTTTTCTATAAATCAATTTTTCGGGTTCTTAGTCAAAATGAAGCGATTTTTGTGACAGTGTATTGTTCTTGTTCCGATTAAAGAATAAATTACAACTTAAATGTGACTGAACTTACTCATTTGTCTCGGGTTTGTATGAGCAATAGGTCAGGTGCATGCTTACAGCATTAATAAAATGAATTATATTTGGAAGTTCATTGCCACTGGTGTTGAAATTATTTATAAATTTCCTGTCGATCCGCCGAAATTCATGGTCAATGCTTCTGTTAAAATAAATAATTAGAAACATCCTGATGCATTCGGATCTGCATTTTTTTGACACAGTGATGCTAATTTCTTCACAAAGGGTTTTTTCATAGCTTAATGTCCAAAGCATGTGTTCCGTACATGAGTCAGCGGGTTGCAAAATAAAAAGTATTAAACATCTGTGGTGAGGATGAGCACGATTTCTGTTTGAAAATAATAATTATTTAATAATGATGCACAACAGACGTCCGGAATCATCTGCTACTAATTATAATGTACAGAACCCTCTGGGCTGAAATTTATGGATGCACAATTGAAGTTTGTTTCTACGTTATAGATGTAAAAATAGTTTTAAAATAGTGAAAAATATCTATTTCTAGAGTGGAAAGAGATGTTCAAATGAAGATCGTAGCAAAAGAATATCACATATGTGTATTTAAAATCTGCATGGAAATAGAAAAAAAGTATTTAGGTTCTTCAGACAGTGTATAAAACTTGGAAAGTCAACAGATTAAGTAATTACATCCATCAGAAAAGACTAATTTTTGAAGCTAGGTTCCTCTGATGAGTATCTAATTCTACGTTATCTTGGCACTGCATAAGTTACAAAATGCAACCTTAAAGTTACCAGCCCGATTACTTTGGAATTTTAAGTACATCTTGATTAATGTAGAGACGCCAAAGATAAGCCACAAAATTGACAAGGTATTAAAAAATCAAAAGTCTTAAGTAGATTTCACTTGAAATGTGCAGTGTCGAAGACTATATTATGTCTAACTTTGGTAAGATACTAACACACATTTCTTATAGAATAATCACTAAATTTTTGTGACGTATTTATTAAAAAATATTGTGGGTTATGCTTCAGAGATGGAAAGTCTCTCTAAAAAAAAAATTCTTTACACTACTTAATTTATTTTGGGTGTTATCGTTATGCGTGAACAAACTCGTTTTATTTACGAAAATGTATCACATTCACACCATTAAAGTGAGAAAAAAGTATAATTTTCTCCACACTATTTGCTGTCATAGTACTGCAATGTAATCGATTTTTAATTGTGTTTATTTCTGCCGGAAATTACATAAACTTAAATTTTTCAAGCAGAACGGCATGCCTTCATGTTTTTGAATGACATTTAATACCTAAATAGCTTATGTGATATATGTTTATTGAAATCATACCCGCATGTGTTTAATTATTTTTAATGATGAAAATTGTTTCAGCAAAATTACTGAAAAAGAAATAACCATAAATAAATAACAATTCATTGTTCAATGAAGCCAAATTTTGGATCTGCTTTTATTTTATAATGTACTAATAGTTTAAGAATGCCCGTGACTCAAGACATGTTTGTGATTTCCTTACCTTTGAAATCTACGATGTCTTAAATGATATTTACTGAAAATCTGTTATTCAGAGCAGCGCAGGTAGATGCAAGGCTACTCTTAAAGGTCACGTGTTTAATATAATGCCCGACACGCTATCCCGTAAAGGGAAACATTTTAATACTAGCCAGACAAAGGGAATTATAACGCTGCAATTCGTAATGTACGAACACAGTATAGGTTAAAATTATAATATTCTGTGGAAATAACCTTTTAGTTAGTCAGCACTGCATTATTGTAGGAAAGAGTCATCCGTTTAATTTGGTTACTTCCACTTGTGACAGGTACCGATTTGTTTTTCGTACTGAATCTTAAATAAGGCACTTTATTGATTTCCATTTTTTATGTCACTTTTCTGGGTACATCGTACCGTTATTAAATGACTGTGCTCAAACACGATGTCAGCGAAATTTGACATTTTAAAAGTGGAGGCGATTGACTTTTCTTAATCATGGTCTATGAATCGAATCGCCCACCTATTTCCTTATTTGTACGAATAACTTACCTAGAATCTGAATGAGTAAATACCTGTGCATGTGAGTCAGATGTGAATTAATTAAGTAATGCTAAGATTGGACAAGGTCAGTGTTACTACACAGATATGAGACATATTGGAAAATTTTATTATAATCGATTTTTTGCTTATTTCACGTCAGAACGATTCATCTAGGATTTTGACAGACACATTTTATAATATTTTATATTTTTAATAAATGTGTGTATTTTTGAAACTTTCAACTTTGGGTTAAAACCGCATATAGTATATAATAATAATAATATATGAATAAAAATATTTTTTGAAAAATCACGTCTCCTGTTGTCAAATGTTGTGGCCTTTTTCTAGAAGTAGCAACTATAGAATCTAAAAAACCGATACAAATAATTAATTTCGGCACAATTATTTTTACCAAGTATAACATTTTGATTCAGTAAAGATTCCAGCACACCTCAGTTTACTCTGAAAGTGAAACCTTCCTTGAACTTGAACTTGTTATGACCGACACGTGCTATTGTTTTTCATATATGTGAAATTTTTTCACAAGTTAAATTCGGAACATCGAACATGTTTCGAATAAAGTTATCATAATGCATCAACTATGCATAAATTTGAAAATGTTAAGTCAGTCAAAAAACATTCATGATGAGTTACTTTGTGTGACTCATAACGACTGTATAACTGTTGCGCTATCCTTGGACTTGGGAGCTTTAATAAGCCTTTTGTCAAAAACAGGTTGACAAATGATAAAATTGCTGTTAATGAAATATCGCAAAGTGAGTCATGTTTTAGTTATCTTTCAAGTACCATTGACCGAAAACAACTTCCTCACAGCGATAAAAAATTTACGCAAAAATCGATAAAGATTTCTTTTGGGTTAGGAAATACAAGAAAGTAATTTAAATTATACAACACTATTACATGAAGAATTCCAAAAAACTATACAAATTGTGTTATGTCATTAAAAAAAAAAAAAGAAAAAGAGCATTTGCGGTTTATCGCGTTAAACTTACTACTTTCTCAGCGCGAATGTTTCAAAACACACTATTATTCATGAATTAATTCGAGTAATGTTATCTTGTTTAAATATAATTTTAAAAGCAAGCAAACGTTTAACTAAACAAGCATTTCAACACCATGACAATACAACTAATCAGCAATTTTTTTCAGCTGTATTTATCACAATATGGATACTTAGGAGGATCCGCGAAAAGTGTTGGAAATTCGAGCGCACTACAAGATGAACGTGTTTTCCAAAAAGCAGTAGAAGAATTTCAGAGCTTTGCTGGTCTTGAGGTCACAGGTAAATATTGTGCTTTTACGCATCATCAAATCACAACAATCACAGTCGCGTAAAAATATGTCAAGCCATTATAATAGGTTTAGATGGGTAATTATAGATGCATTTCCTTTGTTGTCATTATCATTGCTCATTCTATCAGTTTTTTATAACGTACATTTCATAACATTTTATGTGGGTTCAATAGTTAAGGTCACAGCGATCATGATGGTACTGTCACCATTAGTGTTTTAATAAATAGTAAGTGATATTCATGGTGATTTTTTTTACAGGGCAACTGGACGAGCGAACTCTCAAAGAAATGCAGCTCCCGAGGTGCGGTGTTAAAGACAAAGTAGGAACCGGAGATAATCGCGCAAAACGATATGCTCTACAGGGTGAGTCATATAATTCGCAAATTGGTTCTTTTCTCCCACAAATTGCCATTTATATGTGTGTTTAATTCCGGTGTAAACACACATTTATTTACGGGCATTGTAGATGCAAGAGTAATGGTTTACAGTTGCACAAACTGTTATTGGATGTCAGTTGAATAAACCATAGTTTAAAAGTGAAATTTCTCATTCGTTAGCAGGAGATTTGGTCCATTGCGTACTACACACAACAGTCATCCAATCTGCTTAACATATTTATTGGAGTTTGTAGAGTATGTAAAACGCGTTGTTCGTTCACTAATTAGGTAATTCCAACTTGTTTTGAAAGATATAATAGTGATAAATCTCTCGCCTTCACACCGGATGTTACCAATAAAAATATGACAGAAATATAATCCTTTTTGTGTGCATTTTCACTTTTAAAAATATTTTTTATGTTGATGCAGGTAGCAGATGGAAGGTCAAGGATTTAAAGTACAAGATCTCAAAATATCCAAAAAATCTCGTCGCTAGAGAAGTAGATAAAGAAATTCATCGAGCATTTTCAGTATGGTCTGAATACACTGACTTAAATTTTACCCCAACGAAAAGTAGTGCGCATATCGATATCAGATTCGAAAGTGGAGAACATGGTGATGGAGACCCATTTGATGGTCCTGGTGGTACTCTAGCTCACGCATATTTTCCCGTAAGTAAAAACAAATCTGACTTTGAATATACCATTAAAGACAAAAATGTATTCATTTCTTTACAATTTTTATATTCACTAGTATTAATTCAGTCTCAGAATAATTTTCCATCTGTTATTTAAACTTTATCTGTGTACAGGTTTTTGGGGGTGACGCCCACTTCGACGCTTCCGAAAAGTGGACCATCAACAGTTACCGTGGCACAAATCTCTTCCAAGTAGCTGCTCACGAATTTGGTCATTCGTTGGGTCTTAGTCATTCTGACGTCAGAGAGGCTTTAATGGCACCTTTCTACCGTGGATATGATCCTATTTTCGAGCTCCATGAAGACGACATTCAAGGAATCCAAGCCCTTTATGGCAAGAAAACGCGAAAACCCGTGGGTGGTAGTCCTGGAGATTCTGATTTTGAAGGAAGTAACACCCCGAGTCATAAAGTTCCTGCACCTCCGGGTTCCGTGGACGTCAATTTATGCAAGGATCCCAAGATTGATACTATTTTCAATTCTGCGGAAGGATATACTTATATTTTCAAAGGAAACAAATATTGGAAGCTGACCGACGAAAGTGTGGCGCCCGGTTATCCCAAATTCATTTCTCAGGGATGGCCGGGACTTCCTGGTAACATCGATGCAGCTTTTACGTACAAAAACGGCAAAACTTACTTCTTCAAAGGATCGAAATATTGGAGGTACAAGGGGAGAAAAGTTGATGGCGAATATCCTAAGGAGATCTCGGAAGGTTTCACTGGAATTCCAGATGACTTAGATGCAGCTATGGTCTGGAGCGGTAACGGCAAGATTTACTTCTACAAGGGTTCCAAATTCTGGAGGTTCGATCCATCACAGAGGCCTCCTGTTAAATCTACATATCCTAAACCGATCTCTAATTGGGAAGGAGTTCCTAATAATTTAGATGCTGCGTTCAAGTGGACGAATGGATATACGTATTTTTATAAAGATGGCGCCTATTACAGGTTTAATGATAGGGCGTTCGCAGTAGATAAAGCGAATCCAGCTTTTCCAAGATCAATATCGTTTTGGTGGTTCGGCTGCCAAGACGCACCACAAGGAACAATAGGAACTAGTGAGTCCAGGGGGTGGCTTCTTGATGAAGAGAGCGATCAGGATAATCCTAGTGACACGCTGGATACAGGTAGGATAAAAATGTGTTCCATTAACACTATAAAACTACTGTCTACTAACTGTAACAGATTTGTTTAAAGTTCATTTCATCAATGTTTACAAACTGTTAACTGATGTAAATATCTTTATAACTAAACCTGATTTATGGATTGTTGTTAAAACCGCTCTCTTCATCAAGTATGTACAATTTTTTGTCTGTTTGCAATTATGGCACAAACATTTGCTTCACTAACCCTAACTTTAGTAGCACTAATAGTGTGTATGACTCACTCATTACTTACTTACTGCTTGAGGTGGTTGCACGGATTTTAGGTAGACTCTAGGCAGCACGTTTAGCATGTATATTTTTTGTTTAAAGAACGAACATGAATATACTTTTGTAGCACTAGAAATTTCACTGTATTTAGAGATACACTTGTGCAAGTAGATGTAAAATCACGAAAATAAGTATATTCATCTGTAGGCAATAATTGGAGGTTCTGAGCTGCAGGTTTTAATTAGTTAGTATATTTTATTAGTTTTTCGAATCAAATGGCCAATTTTTAATGGGCTCGGCTACATTCCAGAAAACTACCGCCGTCCTGCCAGCCACTGAAGGGCAGCCGCAAATCATTTCTAAGTATGTGTTGTCCCTCATTTCACACCATGTCATAAATAAATGTCATTATAAATCATGATAAAAAATGTTGCTATATTTTCTACTTATTTTTTTTTGTTTATTTTTCGTTGAAGCGCTACTTTTTTGTTACATATTTGCTTAAAGTGCTTTTAATAGAAGATACAGCCACAGTTTTTTCTATGCCTGTTCGTCTTATTAAATATAAGATAAATGATTTAAATAAATAAAAATGCAACCTAAATTTTTTGGTTAATTTGGAAAAATGTACAGTGCTGGTATTTGAATCATATAAATAACACGCTAATGTTTCTTCCAATAATACACTGCCCGTGTATTTTGGGTTGCATTTTTAAGGTACTATTCGTGTTGCAAATATAAATTATTATTGGAAAAATGTCTGCTTTACACCTCTTGACAACCACAGCTAACTTTAAACATAATAACAACGTTTAATATTTTGATTAAATAGTTAAAGCTAGACATTTTTATTAATACTTTCACCTAAAGTTGTACATAAATAATCACCCATAGTCATACATAAAAAGCCGTCAGAAACACCAAAGTAATTTTTTATATGGAGATTTTTATTAATTTTTGTTAACGTATGTTTCGTGCTTTTTTTCAGTTGATCATCATGAACAAACTCAAGACCCTCAAGAAACTCCAGATCCAAGTTTTTACCAACAGGACGCTGGAAGTGGAAGTAGCGTGGTCAACTCCTCCTTAGTACTTTTAGTTTTAACAGTAGTGTTTGCTGTTGTTCGGTTAAATTTAGAATAGAAGAGAGATTATTTCGTTTTATAAACGAGTTAACTCTGACTGAGGACTTCAAATAATTGTTAATTTACGGTGTAGTTAAATTGTTGGGAGTCGTGTGATGTCATCGTGACGACTGTGCGAGATCAACTTAACTTCCCGTTTCGAAAACAAACCTGCCAAAGCGTTAATCTTCATGTGAACACATTATTATTTATTGACGTCAGTAAACTGTATTTTTTATAATGCTCTGTATTTTATAAAATAATTTTCGTGCAATTTTGTGATTTGTTAGTGTTATTCAAAGTTAATTTTTAAAACAATCTTTATACAAATGTGTAAATGGACATTAAATAAAAATAATACATTTTTGATAAAGCTTTATTTAGACTTTTATTTGTACCGTCTAATAACTTAGTTTTCTTCATGTAAGTTGTGTAGACCCTGACACTAATTATCACTAGTTTACAAGGTTTTATATCCAAAGACAAAAATAGTTGAATCAAAACGATTTGGGTTCGGGAAATTCAAATCTGAAAGCAGAAAAAATCCATCACGTCAGGTTTTTTCAAGTATTGATTTTAGAATAATTGGTTGCTTTTGATTTTTCTACGGGAAGTGATAATAAAAATCTGAGGTGGACCCAACAAAGATCTTTTAAAATGATACAAATTTGCTCAAAGAAATATAGGTTTATCTTTAAGAATAAGGAAGTTGTATCAAATAAAAGCAACATCCAGTATATATTATAAACATTATGACTGAAAATCAAAAATGATTAACACTAGCGTTTCTTTTATTGGCAGTACTCTCAGTTTTCCTTATAATAGATAACACATTTTCGTCCCAAAAACCTTGATACCTTCTTTTTAAGCATATTTGAACAGGTCTTCCCGCTTTAGGTACTATAATTTTACCACAAACGTAAGAAAGCTGATTTGCACTTAGTTTGCACGATTTCGAAGACATGTTTTATGCGACAATGGTGCATTAACATGAATTAGTTTAACACTAACGTGAAGATAAAAGCAAAGTTCATTATTATGGATTTATGAAAAAACCTGACGTGATAGGGATTATCCGTTTTTGGATTTGTTATCAGTAAGTAATTTAGAAGTATAAAATATTTTTTTTATTTTTGGATATGAAAATAAGCAAAACACAACATGTCTACCATTATACTGTTTATTTTTATTTTAAATCAATGTGCTCAAGTAATGCATAAATTTGATACAACGAAAATTTTCATTCGTATGGATTTTTAATCGTTCTAATCTTGACGAAAGCAGTTGATGATTCTAATTTTGAAGCAACTAATACGCTGAATCATGAAGATTTGGTACCTTTCACCTCCAAAGACGTCGATTTATGCGAAGATTCGATAATTGATACTCTCCTCAGTTCTGCTGAAGGATATACGTTTATTTTTAGAGGAAATAAATATTGGAACTAACCGACAAAAGCGTTGCCTCTTCCAGCTAACATCGATGCAATTTTTACGTACAAGAAAGGCAAAACTTACTTCTTTAAAGGATCCAAATATTGGAGGCACAAGGGGAGAAAAATTGACTGCGAATATGCAAAGAAGATCTCGGAAGGTTTTCCTGGAATTCTAAATGATATAACGCAGCTATGATCTGGAGCTACAAGGTTTACAAATTCTGGAGGTTTATTCCATCACAGAAGCCTCCTATTAAATTTACATTTCCTAAATCAATCTTTAATTGGGAAAGGGTTCCTAGTAATTTAAATGGTACTTCAGTTGCCTAGAGGTACCCCAAGGAACAATAGGAATTAGTGAATCTACCAATAGACTGATTTTGAAGAGACTAAATTGGTAATGCTGGTAAATTGTAGGGTGAAAATGTGTTTCCTTGTCGTGATATAAAGTACTGTACACTTTAAAATCTATTTGGGCAAATGACATGAGAAAAACTGTCAGCTTTGACTAGAAACCATGTCTACCGCGAATTATCGGAAAGAAAGCAAGCAACATTTAATTACGCCATACTCTATCAAGAATTTTAAACAACAAAGAATTTACACGTGTCCCCACATACATCGTCGTGGCCCGAAAATAAACCACATACCATATATAAAGAAAGCAATCAGAATCAAAATAAAGTGGTCTCGGAAAACGACAGATCACTTCGAGGTCAAAAGTTTAAATTCAAACCGTAAGAAATTATTAAACTTGTAGAAAAATACTAAAGTTCTCGCATTTTCGAGTCCACCATGATTTTAATTTAACAGATAATAACTTTCGAGTCATTTCTTGCAGAATGGATCAATGTTTAAACTAGTTTAATGCCAGTAACTATTTTAAAATCTCGGATTAGAAATTGTGAAAATACAATAACTTAGCTACATTCTACATTCCAACCCGAATTTTAAATATCCTTTACAGAAATGAGTTAAGTCTGAGTAAGTGATTTTTCATCATGTTTTATATGAAAATGTACAACAGTGTTGTTAAATTATTTTAGAACCTGAACGGTTAAAAATATTAATATGTTACACTACTGTTTATTTGTTGGTTCTTATCGTTAAAAGAAAACTCGCTTTGACCCAAAAGGCGTTATTATTAACAATAAACTTTACATAATTTAACTGTAACACGTGTTCACGTAAGTACCGGCGAACGGGGAGAGAGAGAGTAGCGAGCGGAAGTATGGTGGAGCCTCGCCTTCGTGTCAGCGCCATCTCGGAGATTTTCGCAACACTCCCCCTTTGGATTCCATGAAGCTGCCCACAGATGGAATCCAAGAACTCTGTAACCGAAAATTGTTTATTGGCAGCACAAACACGAGGGCCGCTTCCTCGAGCGTTGTCTTGGGGGTTCTGTCGGTGATGCGGAGCTATCTAACCCCACATCCTCTACTGGCGACGGAGCGGGGGATTCGTCAATGTTTGGGCCGCTTTCGGTTGGAACCTTCTTCGGACGGCCTCGTTGTCTCATGGGGAGCAAGGGTTGCACCCTATCGGCACCATCTTCGTGAATGAACGGGGTGAGAGCGGACACGTGGTACTTCCCCAGTGGTTTGTTTGGGTCGCTTCGGGAGGCGACAACATATGTCACCGGAGACTGCTTACCAATTATAATGTACGGACCATCCCGACGGGGTGCGAACTTGCTAGTGTACTTTCGATCTTGGTTGCTAAGGACATGCACGTCCACAAGTACCTCGTCGCCCACTTCGAACTTAATGGCTGGTCTCCGTCGCTGGTCGGCATATTTCTTGGCCCTATCCTGTTGTATTTCAGACCTTTCTCGAACGTCTTTAAAAGTTTCCGCGATCACCTTTAAGTAAGGCGTAATTTCCGGCACGAAGTTTTCGCTGTGCACTACCGCGCGTAAGTCTTTGTGCACATCATACGGCGTACGCATCTCGCGGCCGAAACATAAAAAGGCGGGTGTTTTACCGGTCACTTCGTGGGTAGCACTGTTCATCGCGAATCTGATAGATGGCAACGCGACACTCCACTCATCATGTCGTTCTTCAGCTAACATGGCAAGCTGTATCTTCAAGTCTCGATTCCTTCGCTCTTCCGGGTTGGCGGCTGGATAATACACTGGCGTCAGTACCTGTGAAAACCCTAGACAATGTGCCACTTGCTGCATCACCTCCCCAACGAACTGAGACCCATTGTCGCTAATAACCTGGCGTGGAGTTCCATATCGGAGGATTATTTCATTCACCAGGCACTTCGCACATGCCTCGGCAGTGGCTTTTTGTAGAGCGAACAACTCTATCCAGCGAGTAGCGGTGTCTTCAATCGCCAGGACCCACCTCTCTTGCGCGGGAGTGGCCGGGAGTGGCCCGAAGAGGTCCAGCGCCAAAGTCTCAAACCGCTGCGCCAAGACTGGGGTTTGTAACAAGCCAGGCGGTTTGTAGTTCGTGCATTTGTACTTTTGACACTTTACACAATTTCGGACATGTTGCCGTACGTCCCGTCTCAGGGTGGACCAGTAATACCTGCGATTTACCTTTTCAATAGTTCGCTCGACACCTGGATGACCTGCAATAGGTGAATTATGAAATTCGGTCATAACGTCTGGTACCTGGTGCTTTGGGACTACAAGCTGTGGCTCTTCGCTATCAACGTCCGGGGAATATCTGTACAAAATACCGTTGGACAACATATAACCGCGACCCAACCAGCGACTCACAGCCTCTTCATCGTTGGTTTCAAGGTCATTAATTATCGCCACCAACTCTTCATCCTTGAGTTGTTCATCCCGTAGCTCTCTGGTCGAAACTGAGGGAAAACTGATCTCTACGGTACAAACCTTGATGTCAGTGGGATCACCAACTATATCCGTCACTGGGGGACGCGACAATGTGTCTGCGACAACATTGCTCCGCCCCGGCGTGTATGCAACGTCTAAGTCGAAGGATTGGAGTAAGAGCGCCCAACGCGCCAACCTTCCCGACGGAGACTTCAAAGACATCAGCCATTTCAGAGGTTGGTGATCTGAAGCCACAGTAACCTTCGCCCCTTCTAGGTAGCCGCGAAACTTCTGAACGCCGAACACAATGGCAAGTGCTTCTCGTTCGGTCGTGTTGTAGTTCCGCTCCGCTGCCGTCAGAAGTCGACTAGCGTACTCAACGGGCCGTTCTTCGGGGCCCTCCCCCTGCAGTAGACACGCACCTAGAGCGTATGCACTAGAATCCGTACGCAACGTATACGGTAGGGATGGATCTGCTTGGCGTAGTATGGGTGCCGTCGTGAGCAGGCGTTTCAGCTTTTCAAACGCTTCTCCCTGTGCGCTCCCCCACGTCCACTGAGATTTCTTCTTGGTGAGGTATGTCAATGGCTGGGCGATACCCGAAAACTCCGGGATAAACCTCCGGAACCAGCTACACGTCTGAAGGAACGACATCAGCTGTTTGACGTTCGTCGGTGCAGGCATCTGGGTAATTGCCGCGACTTTGTCGGGATCCGTCGAAATCCCGCCCTTTGCGATCACGTGACCCAAAAACTTCACCTTCGAACACGCGAAGACGCACTTTTTGCGGTTCGCGCTCAATTTAAATTGTCCAAGTCTGTCGAAAACTTTCTGCAAATCTTTCAAATGTCCACCGAACGTCTCCGAGAGCACTATTAGGTCGTCGAGATAAGCCAATATGCAAACAAACAGTCGGTAACCCAACCTTAAAGCGATCAATGAGACGTTGGAACGTCGCGGGCGCGTTCCGCAATCCGAACGGCATCCGCAAGAATCTGTATAGTCCAAAAGGAGACACAAATGCTGTTTTGTCTCGGTCCTCTGCCCGCACTGGGACCTGCCAAAACCCACTCTCCAAGTCAATTGTGCTCATGTAAAAACATTGTTGGGCAGAGTGCAACACGTCGTCAATGCGCGGTAGAGGATAGCGGTC